TGAAATGTCCACTTTCAACTGAAAGACTACAGTAGTAAAACTATGTATACATAGTATGGAGTCAACAAATATTTAAGTGAAAGGCGCCTGAGTGGCTCAGTCGTTAAGCATCTGCCTTCAGCTCAGGTCATGATCCCAGGGTCCTGGGATGGAGCCCCACATCGGGCTCCCTGCTCAACAGGAAGCCTGCTTCTCCCTCTCCCACTCCCCCAGCTTGTGTTCCCTCTCTTGCTATCTCTCTTTCTGTCAAATAAATAAATAAAATCTTTAAAAAAAAGATGCTATTCAAATAAACCAGGTGATAGTTTTCATGGTATTAGAACAAAAACTATTTATTTATACAGTATATTTATATGGTGCCTTCTCTCCAAATAATAATAGTATTTGTTAACTACAGGCACTCAGCAGATATGACAATGCTGAGTTTCAATTCATTCACAAAGGGAAAAAAAAATTCCAAATAATTAAACTAGCTTCCAAACTATGTTATATTTGTTACCTTGATCAAACTAGTACTAGAAAAGTAAACAGCCATCTGCGACAGATTGTTCTAGCTCCTTAAAATAAAATCTGGGAACCATGAGTAAAAATAGTCCAGCTAACATTGGTGATTCTGTGTAAGTACATTCAACTACTATGCCCAATCACTAGGTCTCAGAAATTCAATTTTAATTCTATTGTAAAAGGAAGAAATATGACAAGGAGAGAATTTTGATGCATTTCTATTGCATACTTGTTCTATCTTACATCTAATCAAGATCAACTATCCTAGGGATGCCTGGGTGGCTCAGTCGGTTAAGCGTCTGCCTTCAGCTCAGGTCATGATCCCAGGGTCCTGAAATTGAGCCCCTTGTTGGGCTCCCTGCTCAGCAGGGAGCCTGCTTCTCCCTCTCCCTCTGCCCCTCCCCCCTGCTCATGCTCTGTGTCTCTCTCTCTCAAATAAATAAATAAAATCTAAAAAAAAAAATCAACTATCCTAATATTCCCCTTTTGGAACTAGTACTGGCTTAGTATATGGTAGTCTCCTGCTAATCCACCCACAGTCCAGAAGCAGATGATCTTCCTTCTGATGTATAGTCAGAACATCAATAGTAACCCAAGGCTACATCACATCGCCTACATCATTCACCTCTTTTCATCTCATCACATAGGCATTTTATCATCTTGATAAAATGATAAGAAGTCATCACAAGAATGAATTCAGCACAATAAGATAATTTGAGAGGAGAGACCACATTCTCATAACTTTATTACAATATACTGTTTTAATTGTTCTATCTTATTATTGTTGTTAAACTTTTATTATGCCTAATTTATAAATTAAACTTTATTGTAGGTATGTACTCATAGAAAAAAACAGTATATATCATTTCAGTACGATCCATGGTTTCAGGCATCCACTGGGGGTCTTGAAATGTATCCCCCTCAGATAAGAGGGGATTACTGTACTTCTTTCTAGGCTTACTTTTTTCTCCATTCAAAATAATGCATGCAAAATCTTTCAGAAAATACGAAAAGAGCAAATGCATAAATGAAAATGCATAATTTGCATTTATGGGCAAATATGGGGAAAAGCCAGAGAGCCAGCATGGGACAGTCCAAAAATCAAACACGGAAAAGGGAAATAATCAAATGTTTAATAATGTTAGTAAAACTTTATGATAAAGATGCAGACATCAAATTAGGTTTCATAAATGAAGTATGCTAAAAGGAACTATCAGCCAATCTAAAATACACAGCATGATCTAAATCTATGACAAATATACTAAAGAATATAAATATACATCTTGAATAAGTCTTAGTCATAATAGATTATCTTGAATTCCCTTATCAACAAATGTACATAAAAATGAAAGAAGTATTTGATTATATGAGCTATGTGATTTATAGAATGGCAGAAAGTTTGGCTTACAGAAGAAAATAATTGTTTCAAATATAAGAGACGATTATTATTCTTTTTTCTTCTTTTTTTTAGGGGGGAGGGGCAGAGAAAGAAGGAGGGAATCCTAAGTAGGTTCCACACCCAGCACATGAGCCTGACACAGGGCTCCATCTCACAACCCTGAGATCATGAACTGAGCTGAAATCATGAGTTGGACGCTTAAATGACCGAGCCACCCAGGGGCCCTCTTATTCTTTATACTTTACACATAAATATGATTTCATATGTAATATATATGAAACAATGTTAAGTGTGACAAAAATCTGAGCCAACGATTATTGATGGAAGTGGTAAAATATACACATTCATCCAATCCATTTTTGTTACTTTTTAAAATAAAATAGATCATAAAAGTATGAATTAGGCAGGAAAAACAGACAATTTCTCCTCATTTTCCTTGAGAAAGTTAGCAGTAAAGATTTACTGGTGCTTTTAAAGAGATGGTAGGTAGATGTCTGTGTGTGGTGTACTCTCTTTAAAAGCACCAGTAAACATTTATTGCACACTATGTACACACACACACACACACACCCCAAATTACTTGAAAGTAACTTTTTATCTCTAAAGTCCCCCCAAAACCAACCTCCATCACAAATATTTCCTTAACCACATAGAAAGTACTGATACTCTTCTACTCATAATCCCAGAGATAAATTACAAAAATAAATCCCATAAAAGAAATGGTCATACTATAAGTAACTGTATTTTTGTTATATCTGTAGGCTTAATATTTATGTGTCTTACTACTTACTTATTGAATTGAAACTCAACTCTTCCACTTGCCAGCTAAATCTGATTCTTGACTGTCCTATGCAAGTTATTGAACATCTCTGTGTTTCAGTTTCTCATCAGTAAAATGTAAATAACAGGACATACTTCACAGGGTGCTGAAACTGATTAAAACGTGTATAACAGGACTGGCACAGAGTAAGGGCTATATAAGGGTGAGCATTAAAACTAGTACTTCTAGTAATAGTACTCCATCTTCCCAAACATATTAAAAACATTCTGAACAATTTTTATTACTGATTAAAATTAGATACTATCAAAAACAGACATTAAATCTGAAGCCTGATTAACAGTAAGTTTAAAGCCCTGCAACTCGGAAAAGAATAGATCATTAATAGATCCACATAACCACCCTGTCAAGAACAATCGGAGGAGAGTGGTTTTCCCAAGTGCAACTATCAATTTCTTCCCTTACACAAGGGGGCAGTGATAACAAGAAAAGAATGGGGCTCTGCAACACCTCTTCCTACAGACAGTAGGGGGTGGCAGTACATATGGCTTACAGTCAGAACAAAACAGGAAGACCCAACAGAACTGCTCTTTATTCTCCTCTGGCCCTCTCCTCTCTGCTTTAGCCCCAACATAGCCTCAAGATGAGGGATGTATCTATAGAAAACACTAAAACCCAGTATTAATCACCAAGTAAAATCCAGTTTTGTCTTTAAAGCAAATGATCCCTCAGTGGCTGAATGTGGATGCAGGAAGAAGCCCATAGTATGAATTTTCAGATTATCTAGCAAATTACTTACTGTTATAATAAGAACAACATTCTTCAGGCAAGTCATTCAATTTCTCTACAATAATCACAACATAAAATACTAAAATCTCAATCATTAACTATATTCTAATGAACACAGCCAGATATTTCTGCTTGTTTCATACCACTCATTGAATGTACATATGTAAGTTATATTACACAGCTCATTGAACTATCTTTTGTTACTCCTGAAATTCCAGCTATTTTCTGACAATCTTCTCAAAACACAGATGTTCTTCTTAAATGGAAGTCACAATGTTTCGCAGCATGTGGGTAATTTCATATACAAAGACAGAAACAGAGAGATAGAGAAAGAATATTTAATATTTTATTCTTGTGCTCACATTCCTAAGATGATGTACCTGGGAAATGCTGACAGTATCCATGTTGCTGCTTTTTATGCTACATTTACTGTATTCAATTTTTTCCCCATTTTGCCACCCCAACACCAAGAACATGCAAGAATAGATCACTACTGTCATTCACTGTAATTAACCACTGCAACAGCTTTTGGCTCCAACCCCTCAAAATGCCTGAAAATTTATCCCTTTTGTTCACCATATTGTTTTGTTTTCCTCATTCCAGATATTTTCACCTGTGTGAAAATGAAGACAGGGGCACACAGGAAAAAAATCCCTTTGCCTAATGATCTTGAACTCACAATTATGATCAAGATGTGGTGTTTTTCTGTTTATTGTTTTTCTTTTCCTGGAGAGGAGCAGAGAACAGAAAGACACCCGAAACACCAAATCTTCCTAATGTTTATTATCATTGTTTATGTTTTGTGAAACCCATTTTACACAACTGAAATAAAAGACAGGATACAATTATAACAGTGCTTCTCTCCAAGCTGACGGCAAAACCTGGAATTATTTTAGCCTTATTTTTTCTTTCCCATCTCACAACCAGACACAATATGCTTTTTTTCTTTCACGTGGGTACGTACTATCTCTATCTCAAAAAATAGCATATCATAGCTCCTCTCGATTTCCTGTGATAAAATATCTAGCAATGAGCCTTATTAATCTTTTCTTACACTACATCTCCTTTCCCAGAGGGATTGTTAATATCGCACACAACACTTCTACCATGAATTTCAATGCCACACAGGCCAATCCACCCTGCGCCTTACCTGGCACATTTCACAACTACTTTTTATGCTGCATTCTGGGGGCACATTTTGCAACTCGTTCTGCACCACATTGCCTGCCACGTTTAGCAATCTGCCTCGCATCTCATCCTGGGTCCCCGTCATCTAGAGGCTCTCTCGGTACCAAATTCCATGACACCTTCGGTGACACCGAAGTGACCGTCCCCGGCCCCATCTGAAGCCACCCTGAGTGCCACATTTGGAGCCAACCTTCCCCACACCTTGGACACCGGAGGCACTTCGCTGCCCGTTCCGCTGCTTCCCTGCTCGCCCCCGCCCCTCTCCCTGGAGCCGAGGCATTGGAGGCGAACGCCCCTGTCACTGAGGCGACCCCTCCTTCCGCCGCTCCCCGGGTCTCTTACCTGCCGCTCTGAGGGGCTCGCTGCAACTCCGGGTCAAGCCCCAGCCCCCGGGATCCCCAGTGAGGACCGCGCCGCCAGCCGGCGCCGCCCGCGATTCCCAGAGCACCTCGCTGCGCTCCAACGCCCGCGGTGGGTCTGCGCCCCGGAAAGGCGCGGCGGGGCCTCGCGGCGGGCAAGCGCAGCCCGCGGCGGTCCTCTTGTCAGCGGCGGCGCGGGTGCAGGCTCTCGCCCCTCAGCGCGGCGGCGGCGGCGGCGGCGGCGGCGGCGGCGGCGGTGGCGGCGGCGGCGGACGCCTTGCTCCGCCTCGCGCGCGGCACAGCCGGGAGGTGAGCGCGAGGGGGATGGGATCGGGGGCGGGGCCGCCCGGAGGAGGCGCGGAGGGCGGCGGCGGGAGGGCAGCGCCGGCAGCCCCGAGCCCGGCGCTCGGAGTGCTCGCAGCTTCCCCCGCCCGACGGGCGGCTCGCGCGAGGCGGCTGTGCCAGCGGGCCCCGCCGGAGCAGCGCGCCCAGCAACCCGCGCCCGGCCGGCCGCTCGCTAGCGCCGCCGCCGCGCCGGGGGCGTCGCCCCCTCCGAGGCCGCCCGCAGCCCCGCCCCCTCCGGGCCGGGGTGGGGAGGAGCGCGAGCGCGGAGGGAGAGCGCGTGCGTGGGGGCGCGTGCGCGGTGGAGCGCGCGCGCCCCCGCCCCCTCCACAGTTTGGGGGTGGGGAGCGGCTGGGAGAGAGAGTGAAGACCGAATCCTTCCCTGCGCCGGGAGGTTGGGCCCTGACTGTGCCGCTCTGTGAGCTCTGGGCATTTCTCGTTTCCTCAGGGGGCTCTGACTGGTGGGGTCGAGGGTTTTGGTGGGGAAGAAGGGTGGAAGCTCAATAGCAGACAAGGCCCTAAATAGTTCGGCTCCGCCCCCGGAGGGGTGATGTCACTCTTGAGGTGCTGCTGCTGTCACGTGCGCTCACTTCTGGGCCTGTCCTCCTGCTTTAATGGGCAGAACGTTCCTCTGGATTTCCCCCACTTCAGTCACCTTACGTACATATCACTCCTGGAATCATCAAACTCTACATATGTCGGTTATTCTTTGCCTGATGCCCAACTGTAATATGTAAACTGCTTCAAATGCCACAGTTGGCTGTGGTGGGAAGCAGAATGAGGTGCAAAACCAGCCCTGGGTGGGTAGGTGGATGGGGAGGGAGGAGAGAGAAGGGAGACTATGTTATCTAGAATAATTGCTGAAAATTCACCGACCGCAGCTTGAGAGCCTGAGGTGAGGTTGTGACGCTGCTTCTGTCGCTGCCCGACTGGACAAGAGGTAATGTGGTTTTAAGAGCTAGTAGGCAAGGCACGGAAAGCCACCACATTAAAGCCTCCTCGGAGGTCTTACTTCCCCCATTAACCCTACACCTAGATCTTCTTCCCCTTTTTCTTTCCTTTGCATCATAAAACAGCAAGTCAACTGTGGAAGATGTCTGGACATAAATTTTTCCGTGGGCTGTAAGATGATGCAAAGCAATCACTATTACATACTCTGCCAGGCTAATCTTCCCGTCCATAAACTGAGACGACCTTTCCTGGTCATCTATTCCCTAATGAGACGCCATGATTGTAAATAGATGCCCCTAAATTACTTCAGTCAAGGAACCTGTGTCTGTGGTGTTCCCAAGATAGTTTTGTTTGTTTGCTAACAGTCCTTTGAATCTACTTCATCCAGGAGTTTCTTTGGTTTTTTAAAAATTAGTATTAACTTCGGAATAATACAGGAAATTGAATATGAAGCCATTTTCAACAGCTAGTCTCTATAACGAATGCTTGAAAAGTTAGAGCAGCTTTGAATACTACAGCTAAAATGGCAAGGTGAAGGATTGATATATGGAATCTTTTGGTGGTAACTCCAAAAACTTAGATTACTCTAGCTATAACCTATCTATGGTGATAGTCGCATGGTAGTGATTATTTATGGGGGATTTGACAGGGCAAGAGGGAGCCTTCTGGGTTGCTAGAAATGTTCAATATCTTGATCTAACTAATGACTCTAAGGGTTAATATATATGCAAAAAGATTTATTCATACACACAAAGAGGCACTACTACAACATCATCATGATCGGAGTCTGGAAACCTGGGTTTAAATCTCAGTGTCAAAAAAATAAAAAAATCTCAGTGTCACCCACCACTTACCAGCTATGTGACCTTAAGCAAGTCTCCAAGCCTTCTTTTCTTCATCTGTCTAATGTGAGTGATGATACCTCACAGAATGGTTGTAAAAATTAAATGAAATTATCTTTGAAAAATAGCACAGAGCCTGGTATAGAGTAAGTGCTTAGGAAGCAGTAGCTTATTCTTTTTGCACCCAGATTTACCCTATTCGATTCTCCTTTGGGTTTTTTGTTTGTTTATTTTAAAGATTACTTTGAATCTCAGCCTTTGTGAGTTTCACTGAGGCTAATATTCTTTCCCACAAGAAATAACAAAAGGCAGTCAGGGGTGTACTGTGTTAGTTTTCAAACTAGTTCAGGTAGAAGTACTTAGAAATTATTGTGCTCATTGTGGAACACCATGAAATATTGATAGATTTAATTCTGCCATATGGACATGACAATTTTACCAGCACTAAATCTAGCTATATTATGTTTATGCAGATCTCTCACATATTTTAAAAAAATGTATTTTTAAGAAATAATAGGTCCATGTTTTTCCTTTAAAATTTGTTTGCAACTTTTCACAAAGTAGAAAGTACCAAAAGTTTAATAACAATTCACAAAATGAAAACCTTGAAGTCCATTTTTCCTAGAAATTAGAAAAACACTGTAATTGTTCAGTTTTAGCAGCAGAGTTCTCTTTATTGGATTTTCCCACAGTAAGCTCTAATAGCTGTGACCCACAGGGTCTCTTGCTCTGATGAAGTGAGTAACTCTGACTCACTGTCCTCATCATACTCCCAAAGATCAGTCTCCATTTCTTTTGGCTGACCTTTCCCAGATCCCATGTTCACACTGAGCAGTACGAATACCCACTGAATGAACTCCCTGCCTTGCTGTTTTGATCATCCAGCATGATTCTATTCAGCCCATTCTCTTCCACATAACACTGCTGTTAAGTCTTGCAATTTGCTGCCACAGTCTAACTTTGTGGAGGAAACCCTGTGTCCCTGACAGAGGTAAGGGTGGGGTATAGTAGGGATGGTGAGCAACACTGTAGAGAGAAGTCAACCCTGTTCTCAGCTCTTCTCCCTGATTTGCTTTTCTGTCAGTGATACCTGAAATCCTGAGAATGCTAATTTTTTAACCTACTAAAAGTCCATTCTAGTCAAAATGACCATTTAGTCTGTAACTTAAATTTGGAAACATAATGCATGCCATGTAAGAGGAACATGCAAATGTGCATAAATTAGCCCAACCTTACCTTATACCTACCAACTCATCAGTGCCATCTGTACCAGTCAAAATGCCCTTTCTTGGTCTATCAACTCTGCACACTTGTACTCACCTCTGCATATGTCTTCCCCTGGTACCTCTAAGTCTCTGAAGCAAACCATCAGGCTCACCTTGCCTACCCTTTTTCCTCAATTCTCTCCCTGTTGAATAAAGAATAATGATATCCACTATTGATTGATTGCCTACTGGCCACAAATGCTTTACCAAATGCCTTAAATATTCTTTCTCATTTAATTCTCACAACATCCCATCAATATTAACTCAGTTTTCTAGATTGTTGAGGGGGGGGGGCTTTGAGAGGTTAAATGCCCAGGTCAAGATCACACTGAATGGGTGGGCAGAGCCACAATCTAAACCCAAACAAACTTTATCCTCTATCAGTTACCCTCAAGATAATGGCCTATGAAATATAAATGAGAACACAGAATACATCATTTGAAAAATGTGAACCATATTATACCATGAAAGTATATCTCAAAAGTTGATTTAAAAGAGATTTTTCTCATTGATTGTTTTTCATAATCTCCTTTCTTTTTAACTGCAATTAATAATTCCAAACTCAATAGCTTCAACATTTTCCCCACCAACCCCCACCTTGGTCTTTTGATGAATATTTAATAATTTCAAGACTAACACTTAAAAGCATTTCCACATAGAGGAAATACTACTTAAAAGAAGTTTCCAGGGCGCCTGGGTGGCTCAGACGGTTAAGCGTCTGCCTTTGGCTCAGGTCATGATCTCAGGGTCCTGGGATCAAGCCCCACATCGGGAATCCCTGCTCAGCGGGGAGCCTGCTTCTCCCTCTGCCTCTGCCTGCTGCTTCCTCTGCTTGTGCTCTCTCTCTGTCAAAAAAAAAAAGTTTCCAGTATATCTCTTTTTTTTTTTTCGGAAACTGAAAAATTCATGTACAGTATGAAGAAGCAAAACTCCATATATTTTTACATTGACATTTATAAATACTTGACAAGTATTTGTGCCTACTGTATGCTTATAACTGTGGTAAGTACCACAGAGTATACTTAACTAATTTGAGAGATGTCTTGCCTACTAGAAACACATAATCTATTCAGGAAACAAAATACTTTAAATATTTAAATATTAATACAGCATAATATAGAACTAAGTGTTAAAACATGAGTTAAACAGTAGGTTCTGTGATCATCCTTAAAAGGAAGAAAGATACGTTTGACTGGAATGGTATGAGACTGCTACTTGAGGAAAGTAGAATAGGAAAAAATACAGATGGAAAGAAGGAAGAACTATTCCAGGGAGGACCCTAGAGAATCAACAAAAGTTTAAAGCAGGGAATAAGTATAAGAACTCTTAAGTCAAAGAATAAGTCCCTTTTGGAGGTGAGTTGCTTTCTTAACAAAGACAAGTATTGGTGTGAACTACAAATAGACAAGGTGCAAATCGAAAGAAACAGACCAATGAGCAACAAGTGTGGATGAATAGAAGAGTATTTACTAGTTAAGAGATAAAGCATCTGGTAACATCTTACCAACATCTGGTTGGTGAGAGGTTAGAAAAATGGCCCAGGACCAAACTGCAGAGGGTGCTGCCCAGAAAAGGAAGATACCATGATGTCTTTGAATAGAAGAATGACAAGAAGACAGTGTTTAAAACTTTATCTAGTTGGGTGGATTTCAGCACGGAAGGACTAGTGTTACGGACATGGTTAAGAAGATATTACTATTTTATGAGCTAAAGAAGGTGACAGCTGATAGTCAAGAATTGTGGCAGTGGGAATAGAATGGAATAGTTCCAATAGCTATTGCATGGAAAGAATTAACAGAACTTTCTGAATAACTGAATGCAAAGGGTAAAGAGTGAGAAATCAAAATACAGCAAGGTGATAAAACTAGAAGACCATGGTACCTATGACAGAAGCAGGGGAGTCAACAGGAATGGTTTGAAAGAGAAGACAGAAAGAGATGGTGTTGGCATATTTTGTGTTTGTAGTAGTTTTTTATTGCTTTTGAATTACAAATCACTTAAGAATCTGATGGAACCAATGGATTCTCTCTTTTATTAAAAAAAATTATTCATACTTGTACATGCTACACATTTGTAATGGATACCCTTGGAACTAACTGCCAAAAAGCTCTTGACACAAGCTTGGCCCATCAGAGCCCTGTCTGGAATTTTTGTGCTTTATATCCAGAGGTTCAAATCAGTCTCTCCATAGTAGCTGAAACTATGATGCTGTTAGCTGATCTGTTTCCTAACACGAGCATGAGAAAGAGAAAATGCTTAAATGCAGAATGAGAGGAAAAAGGAAAAGAGAGTCTCAGAGAGAAAAACAAAGATCAGAAGTGAGAGAGGGAACATACCTTAATGGCATTTGAGTCCATGGGTCCATCACATTTCTATCCTTGAATTCCAGGAGATAACCTAGTCCTTTATTGAAATTCCTCCATGGTTAAACTTGTTTGAGCTGCATTTCTGCAATTTATATATGAGAATTCTGATTAATTCAGGGGTTAAAGCTATTAACTGAAACCCACCCATGGGCTCCAGGTAAGAATTCTTGATTCAAGATATTGGAAAGTCACCCAAGTGGAAATAGACCAGTAAACAGGTTGAATTTTGGTGAGAAAGGGAAGAAAATGAATACTGATGCAGAGAGACTATAGATAGCACAGGTGTTTTAAGAGCAAGGACACTGGATCCAGACTGACTGCACTCAAATCCTAATTTAATTATTTACTAAATGTGTGATCTCAAGAAAGTTATTCTACATTTCTAGATCTCAGGTTACCTATCTGTGAATGGCAAATTAAAAACTATATTTTATAGGATTGATATGAAGATTTTAAGTTGGTACATGTAGAAGTACCTGGCCTATACATAGCAGGTCTCTATGGACTATTATCATT